TGAGGTCTCACCAAGTTGCCCAGGTGGGTCTCAAACCCACGGGCTCAGGCAATTCACTCAACTCAGCCTCCCAAATCGTGGGATTACAGGCTGAGCCACTGAGCCCGGCTTGTGTATTTCTTTTATATTGTTTTTGATGAGAGACTGAGTCCTGATATAAGCTATTTAGTCTTAGCTGGCCTGAAATCCTTGAGCATGTATTTTTAACAAATTGTTTATTTTATTTTATTTTATTTTATTTTTTGAGTTGGAGTCTCACTCTGTCGCTCAGACTGGAGTACGGCCACCGCAGCCTCGCCTGCTGGGCTCGGCGATTCTTCTGCCTCAGTCTTCCGAGTAGCTGGAACTACAGGCACGCGCTACCATGCCCAGCTAATTTTTTGATTTATTGTAGAGATGAGGTCTCGCCAAGTTGCCCAGGCGGGTCTTGAACCCGCGGGCTCAGGCAATCCACTCACCTTAGCCTCCCGAAGGTGCAGGATTACAGGCTGAGCCACCGAGCCCGATTCAAATGGTTTATTTTAATTGAGGTCAAATTCGCATGCAAGATTAGCTATTTCAAAGTATATATGTCAGCATTTAGTACACAGTGTTGTGTGTGAGTGTATTTTTACTTTATATAAATGATGTTACACTATAACTCTTGTTTTCTCTCATTTTCACCTAACAGTATGTTCTTAGAATTTTTCCCTTTTACTTTTCTGTGTATTACTTCTGTTTCATAGTATGCATTTCACTTATCTATTTTTCTTGTGATGGACATAGACTCATTCCTCCAACGTCCTACTCCTAATACTATGCTGCAGTTAATAAAAATTTATTCTTGATTCCATTTTCCCCAAGTAGGTGAATTATGTAGGGATCTTATTTGGAAATTTGATTAGAAAAATTTATAGTTTGATTAATTATCTGTGATCTGGAGGAATTGACTCTTGTAAATTCTTGGACTTTTGGGAAGTATTCTAGACCTTAACATTCTTCACACAGACTTATTTGGGCATCAGTCCAGTTTCTTGAGCATATTTAAATGTCTCTGAACACTACGCATTTTTCCAGATAAAGGATTGGGGCACTTTCTGCTCTACCTATTGATTCCTTTAATATAATAATATATGTGAAAAATATTGGGTGATAGAGGCCTTCTGTAGTTCACCTTGAGGCAATATTCTGTAGTTCACTGAAAGTCTGTGACTTTAGATGATAGACAGTGTTGCAGACTGCTTTACCATTTATTAGCTTTGTGAATTTGGGAACGTTGTTTAACTTTTCAGAACCTCAGTTCTGCATCTCTGTGATGACTGTAATAGTAGAGTAGTTTTGGGGTTAAAATTGAGGAAAGTAATAATATAAAGCACTTATCTCAGTTCTGGCACATGTAAAATGCATAGTAATGACAGCTGTATTGGTCATTTGGTGTAAACTGTTGATGGTATTTTATCTTTTTTCCTTTGAATACTTTGAATATTTTTGTGAAAATGGTTATGCTGTTCATTTGGCACCCGCAAATGTCATCCCTTGTATTATTTTTTAATGAGTTGTGATCATTAAGTATAAGCATATAAAAAACAGAAATTTACCAGAATTTAGCTTCTCCTGCAGATTAAATTAAAAATGCATTTTAATTCTTTATTTAAAAAAATTTTATATTAGAAGCAAGATTTTGCTATGTTATCCAGACTGATTTCAAACTCCTGGCCTCAAGTGATCTACCCACCTTGGCCTCCCAAAATGCTGGGATTACAGGTGTGAGCCACCTTGTTTGGCCTAAGAATTCTTTTTCCTTTTTATTTACTTTTTACTCTGTTTTGAGAAACATAAAGCATTTTTACTTAAATTCAAAATTGTTTTTTTCCAGATAACCATGATGACTGTACCACAGACTTCTACTATGCCTTTTGCTTCCTTTGAGGATATATTGAGCCGGATGCTGTTTGGCTGGCCACAGCTGTTTTCGTCATGTGAGAAGAAAAGTGATGCAAAACCGTCTTCCAATGGCACTGATACCTTGGCCTCAAAACCTGTAGACGTTGCCTCAGATAACATTAAAAGGAAATGTACTAAGAATGAATAAATTTAATCGATGAGCTCTACAAAGAAAAAAAATTTTTCTTATCTGTCAGATTGTGATAATATTTCTATGTAAATGATGTGACATAAGATTATATATGAGGAATGGAGGTGACAAAAAGAAATTCTGATTTAGGAGGACTGCCCCTTTCTGGATTGTATTTCTTGAGTGTTATGAGTATATCATGTGAATTTGTTTTTCTAATATAAAAGATTATGTTGTGATTATTTTAATAGTTTTATATAAATAAAAGAAGACTAGATTTCTAAATGTTTGAAACAGTAAGCCTATCATTGCAAAATAGCAAAAATTTAAAACTTTAAAAAAGTAGATATTTTCATACTTTTAAAATTTGAATCTATTTGAGATTTATTTAGTTCAGCAGAATTAAATTTTCACTTTATATTATTGTTACAGTTGGTAGATATAGAAAACAATTTCAATTTAATTTTGAACACTGAGAATAGTAAACTTTTCCTAAAACTCTTTCTATTGCAAATGAAAATAAATTGCTAGTTTATATTTCAAATATAAACTTTGTATTTTTTGCCCACATTAAATGGAAAATACCTGACATTTTATTTAATTTTATTTCTAGTAGTACTTTTCATTGAGAACAGAGTATTAGTATGACTCTCAATCTGAAGTCTTTCTCATGCCCTTATTTTATTTTAAAAAACGACTGGGGTTTTTTTGTTTGTTTGTTTTGTTTTTTCCTCAAGAAAATCAAGGATATAGGTGTAGTAAATTACTAATCTTGTGTTTTGTTTTATAACTTTCATTTTAGAAGCTTAACCTTTTTTTCTTTCTCCTTAAAACACAGTGGTTTTAGATGTAGGAGACATTATTCTTCATTCAGCATTTCATGTGTTTTTTCTAACTTTAGTTGGTCTGAATAAATTGGTAGTGGTTATTGTAATGATTCAACCAAAAGTATTTCGACTTAAAAATTTTGTCACCATGTCTTCTTTCTAGTAGCTATGTTTTTAAGTTTTCTAGTTGAATGTCTCTTACTAGTTTGCATATGGTTATATTTTAATTTATACGTACATTTGTTATTTAATTATTTTGGTGTCTTTGGAGACAGGGTCTCTGTTGCCCTGACAGAAGTGCAGTGGCACTATCATAGCTCACTGCATCCTTGAGCTCTTGGTTGGGCTCAAGTCCCACCTTAACCTCCCAAGTAGCTAGGATTACAGGTATGCGCCACCAAGCCCAGCTAATGTTTTTGTAGAGATAGTCTCACTGTATTGCTCAGGCTGGTCTTCAAATCCTGACCTCAGTGATTCTCCCATCTCAGCCTCCTAAAGTGCTGGGATTACAGATGTGAGTCACTTACCCTAGCCTATTTTTATTTTAAATGAAAACTACCTTCATGTGAAAATGGTCACCTCTAATTAGAATTGCCTTGGGAATTTGATTTAAGAAGAAACAGAAACCAAAACTTTTTTGAATGAATAATGATGACATTAAGTTGTTCCTTATTAGCAAAAACAAACAAAAGAAGGCACTAAATGATGCTAGGTTTTCTTTATTTTATTTTTAAAGAGTCCAATTATAACATTAAAACTCTGTGACATGATTTTTTCTGCCAAAACAGCCTACTACCTGTATCAGGTATTTTGGATGGTTTATAAGTACTTAAGTCATATTCAAGTTAGAAGTTGTATTTTCCTATATAAAATTTTAACAAATATAAACATGGAGGAGGCACTTTTGATAGTCTTGGGATGCTAAGAAGTTTATTTTTAATATTATGAAAGGAAGCATCATTTAAGAATTCTGTATTATATTTAATACTCTTATGGTTAAAAACTTTTCAAGGTTAACATGTTATTAATTATTGGCCAGCTTTGAAGTTTGGGCTTAACTGTAGTTGAAATGACAGGAGTTTTGTTTTATACTTGTATTAAAAATAAATGTATTAAAAATAAGTTATTTAGCAACAATGGAGATTACATTGTTTTTATGTTTTTCTTTTATATTTTTCTTGAGGTAGGATTTCAGAACCTGTCTAGTGTTTTGACTAATATATATACAGTGATTAGTGTCCAAGTAGGACATTGACTTAAACTGTATTATATTCTTATAACCCTCAATTTAAGGTTTTTAAGTGAAATCTGTATTGGAGAGCATGGCTTAGACCTGAAACCTCCCATCCAGAATCTACTCAGGTCACCTGCAGAGGGTTGATTTAGATTTGCAAAGCAGATTGTGAGATTTCTTACTCAACATATGAAGCATAAATGAGTCCTGCAGACCTGCCTCACACAACTCATCAGAGGTGGCACTGGGTAAGTCAAGAGCTGATAGGTTTCCTTAAGAAAAAAAGGAGATAAGAAACTGGAAAGAAGATGGGCCAACTTACCTCAGTGATTTCAACCTGTAGTAAAATGTGGCCAAATGAATATCAAACTGATTTATCAGATTAGTTACTCTTTTTTTGCTGAAGGAGTATAGAACAAGGACTGAAGACAGACCAGAAATGTGGAGTGAGTAGATTTCAGTGGAGATGCCAGCCTCCCTGTGGGCAAAGACCAAAAAGTAGAGAGACGAGAGAAGATGGGAGACTCTTATTAGTGTATGTTTTTTTTTGTCTATTCCTTAAAGCTCACTTTTTCATTAAAATCCACTTCAAATCACAAGTTGTTTGTAATTGAGTGGAATGTTGGAAATGGAATGATATGTTCAAGAAATGTTCTCCCTTCCCTCACACAAAGCCTTTTGTATTGTTTGCCCCCATGAGGTATAATTCACATCCTTGGTGATGTACGTTCATTTGCTTATTCAGCAAATAGTGAGTGTCATTTATGAGTCAAATGTTGTAGACTCTGAAGATATATAAAACAAGAAAAAGGCCTGCTCTCTTGGAGTTTCCATCCCGGTGATAGAGAAACATAATAAATGTATTCTTGTGGTGATAATAAGAATTATGAGTAAATATTAAGCAGGACATAAGATACAAAGTTAATGGGGTACTACTGTTTGTTTAAATAGAATTGCTAGGTCTTTTGGTTACAATCGCATTTTAGCAGAGACCTGAAGGACATGAGGGGGCAAGCCATGTAGACATCTGTGCAAGTACAGGGGTCATACTGATCCTTCAGGTATTTGATTTAGATTGTTTTTTCCCCCAAATTATTTTTCTTATTAAGAACAATTTCAGCAAGGAGATAGCCCACAAACTGGAAAAAATATTTTTCAACTGTGTGACTGACAAAGGCCTAACATCTAGGATCTACAAGGAACTCAAATGTGCCGAAAAGAAAAAAACAAACAGCCCTATTACAATGTGGGCAAAAGATATGAATAGACAAGATCTCAAAAGAAGACATATGAGCAGCAAACAGATACATGAAAAAATGCTCAGCTTCACTAGTCATCAAAGAAATGCAAATTAAAACTACACTGAGATGCCACCTAACTCCAGTCAGGATGGCCATCATCAATAACTCAAAAAACAACAGATGCTGGAGAGGATATCACAGAAAGGGAACACTTCTACATTGTTGGTGGGAATGTAAACTAGTATAGCCTCTGTGGAAAACAGTGTGACAATTTCTCAAAGATCTAAAAATCGACCTTCCGTATGATTCTGCAATACCCCTACTGGGCATATACCCAGAACAACTCAAATCACTCTATAAAAAGATAACCTGCATACGTTTATCGCAGCATTGTTCACAGTAGCAAGAACATGGAAGCAACCATACTGCCATCAAAAGAGGACTGGATAAAAAAATGTGGTACATATACATGATGGAATATCACGCAGCCTTAAAGAAGAACAAAATCATGAACTTCACAGCAACTTGGATGGACTTAGAGTCTATAATTCTGAGTGATCTTTCACAGAAACAAAGAACTGAGTATCACATGTTCTCACTTATAAGCGGACCTTGAACAATTATTGTAGTACTATAAAAAAAGGATTGGCAGTAGTAGGAAACTGCCAGGAGGGGACCGGGGAAGTGGGATTGGCAGTAGTGGGAGTCTGCCTGGGGAAGGCAGGGTACACCTCATCAACAAGGGTACTTGCATAACGAACATTTGAATGCCTAACCCTGAATTGTACCCTTCATCTTTAATAAAAAACAGTTTAAAAAAGAACAATTTCACTCTATAGTTTCTAACAGATACATTTTTTTGACTGAATTTACTTTCACAGTTTTTTTTATTGAGGTAAAATTTGTGTACAATAAAATGTACAAAGTTAAGTACACATAACACAGAGTTTTGGCAAATGCATACAACTATATAATCTAAACTCCTATTGATATAATCATTACTAGCACCCCCAGAAGTTACTTTTCAGTTTATACCCATTACAGCTGAATTTAATAAAATGAATCATGTAATATGTTTCCTTTGGCATAGACGTCTTTAAAGCTCAGCATGTTTTTTTCCTTGGGCAAAATTTATTTTATTTTTAGAGTTGTCGGGTACGTGGGAGGATTTGCTACGTAAGCATAAATCGTGTGCAGGTGAGGTTTGGGCGTTCCGTGAGCCCTTTCTCCCCTTGGTCATGGACATGGTACCCAGTGGGTACTGGTATGCTCCTTATTGCCCTTCCCCGCTCTAGTAGTGCCCAGCATCAGTTGTTCTTACCTGTGTGCTCATGTTTACTCTCTCACGTATGAGTGAGAACATGAGGTATTCATTTTTTGTGTGTCTGTGATGGTTAATTTAGAATGATGGTCTCCAGTTGCATCCATGTTGCTGCAAAGGATATGATTATGTTCTTTATGATTGTGTACTATTCCATAATGTAGATGTACCATATTTTATTTATCCAGTTTATTTTTTATGAGCATCTGGGTTGGTTCCATGTTTTTGCTATTGTGAATAGTGCTGCAATAATCATATGCATATAGGTGTGTTTTTGGTAGAGTGATTTATATTTCTCTGTGTATATTCCCAGAAGTGGGATTGCTGGATCATATGGTAGCTGAATTTTTAGTTCTTTGAGAAAAATGCCACATTACTGTTCACAAAGGTTGAACTAGCTTACATCCCCACCAG